AGCGGGAATAAGGGAATCTGACCTCTTTAAAGATCTTTGCTCAGTTATTACACAGGGAGCACTCCCGCTGTTCTTAGCAGAAAAGTCAGTGTTTCTCAGTCAGTGCTGGAGTATCACAATCATCAGACAGTAGGACGACGAGCTCTACGTTAACCAGCATAGTACCTCCAAAGCTCATAAAAAGCCCATGACTGATATCCAGAGAGACCTGGGTGCTCAGCCACGAGCATTTAACTGGGAAAAGCTGGTGAAACTCAGAGACACCCTGCGTGGCAGAGAAGCAAGATCATCCTAACAACCCACACCTCGAGTAACTAGACACAGGACAAACTCTGGTGTCAGCAAATGTCTCCCTCCTCCTCAGAAAGACCCCAGAAGAAAGAAGCCCCTGAGAAAATGTCTCGCTTGTGGCGTCAAGATTTCACATAGTTCGAAGTTTGGGGCCCAGTTTAATTTTGCTTGAATATGTCTCGAGGATCTGAGTGCTAGCAGATCTAATATGGAAGTCAATGCCAAGGAATAAACCTAGGGAACTCAGAAGGTTGGGTCCATGGATGTGTGCTCTGCTGCCCAAAACCACTAACACGCCTTCCTCTTTCATATTAGAAAGTCTATTGATGTAGCAGCAGTTGAGTTAAATCACAGAAAGTGAGCTTTAACCCTACTCCATTTGCAGCTGCTTCAGATTGAAATTACAAAATTTAGTGTATAAGTAGAGAAGGCTTTCTCATGTATGCATGCATGATAGAAAATAGATGAGGTTCTGCTTGAATGGAAAACAGTAAATTGAGATATGTTTTGCCTATTGACACATAAAACTCCTTGATATGTTTTATAGGGATCCGAAATCAGTTTTCACATGTGCAATAGAGAGAGCTGAGAAATGCACAGGAAAATGAAAGCTAGACTAAAAACATCCAAGGATCGTCATCCTGAAACTTCTAAATAAAGAAGCGTGTTACAAAACGATACAAATTAAAAGGAAGAGGATAAGGTAGAGGATAAGAAAATGGTTTAGGAAATTTTGACGGAAAGGGAAGTGAAAAACATGGTTGATGAAGAGAAAAGAGTGGAAACAGAGTATGCAGCCGACGCTCCAGGCAATGCCATCTGTGGGCAGATCTGCAAAGGCTGCATGCCACACACCTGTGTGGGACTGCCTGGGAGATAAGGCCCTCAGCACAATGGCCCTGTGGCCACCTGTGCTGCCAAACAGGTGCACAGCGAAGCCAATTAAACTATTAGACAAACACAGGCTTCTGGGAGCAAATTAGCCGTCTGCCCAAACACCACAGGAAAACAAAAAGCAATGGTAAGCACTGTGAAGACCAACTACACTTTCATGGTAAGACTTTCATGTCAGTGTGCAGAGCTACATTAAATACCTATAGAAGCTGGTTTTAAATCAGGTCATCACATAAATGTCTACTTTGATAAAAGAATGATCATGATATTACTTTTATATAAATAATGTAAACTTTATAACAGTTAACCTTGTATGAGGGTCAGGGTTAAAATTTAAAATTGAATATCAAAAGGACATTGATGCTTTTTTTGAGTAATGAAACCAGATACATTTAATATTAAGGTAAATAGACAGAGGTTGCACTAGATGTGAGATGACAGACTCCAACTATTAGATAGCTCAAGGTTGCTAATAATGAAAGCTATGAATTTAGCATTAAAAGGCTCACTTGTTACAAAACAGTGCATCTAACTACCAGGCAGAACATTCTAATAATTATAATATAATATTTCTAATAAACTAATAAACAAGTGAATCTGTTCTTGATTACCAAAAAAATACAACATTTTATATTTCTGTAAAGGACTTTTTTTTTTTCAGCCCATTTGCATGGTGTCCCTCAGGTAAAATAAGTAGATTAAATAGTGTGATGAAATAATGTATGTCTCAGTTTTCTTCAATATAAACATTCAGAGGCAATTGATAGGCCTTAAAATAAACTAGACAAGTGCAAAGAGGAGCTCATGGAGTGGGCATTTATAAAAAAAAATACATTAAGCCTCCCACAGAGACAGGATTCAAAGATACTGATAAAATTCATAACATCAAGCTATTTTAATCCTAAACCAAATGGAGCTTCGAGGCAGAAGTGAATTAACAGATATTTTATGCAATTTAGGACGGATTCTTCCGACACTAAAATGGTTGATAAAGACATACCCCAATATTAAAAGTCTAATGTTGCTTTATCCAGAATATTTGAAAACAGGTTAGACAATGTTTTTGACAATAATTGCTGGCCTTGAGCTCTTGGCTAGACCCTGGCATTTCCTGCCAGAATGGGAGGTTGCATCTGCAGTTAAAAGTATGTGATGCGACTTTAACTGTGAGGTAACATCATGAAATAAATGGTAGAATATTACCCAGAAATTAGTAGACGTAACATGTATACAGGCTTTACTAAAATTTGCTCATATTATGTGGTAAAATGTATAGTCAATTTCTCCAAATATCAATATTTAAAGACAAGCCAGCTAATCCTTATCCAAAGGTGTGAACTAAAACAAGCATGAATGGGCTGCTCTGCCTTCTACTCCGTGGTTATTTTCAGTATAAGATAACGTACCATACAAAGGTTACATTTACATAGTAGAGTCAGAAGTGTAGCAAACCAAATGTGGATTTCCTGTGTTGTGATCCATGATAATTAAGTGCATTCATATTAATTAGGAGTAACCTTATCCTTGCTTCGAGAAAATAGCCAGTGCCTTTCCCCAGGAGAGGTATAATGAGGGGTGTAAGGACGAGCAAGGGATGGATGGTAGTCAACAGTTCCCAGAGTCACACGCACCCGAAAGCGACTTTCTCCCTGGATGGACCTGGCAAACTGTGAGAGGTGACTCCTCCATAAAGCAGCAGTCCCTTACATGCTGGTCAAAGGTTCAGCCATTTGAAAATACCCACAGGGCAAGCCTGGCCTGGCCTTAAATCCCCTTGGCACCAGTTGGCCTTTCCGAGTGAAAAAGCTGACTTGACTCCTCACAGCTTGCTGGAGACTGGAGAGACCGACTTCACAGCTCTACAATCACTCGAGGGAGAATTACTTAGCCACTCAGATATTAATTTTATTATATAGCATACAACATGTAAAATGTGGATTTGTGTTAAGCTTAGTGCATTATAAATCTATGAATGGTTCCTTCATGTGTATATAACTTCCTCTTATTCCCTTGTTAGCCAACTAAATATCTTTGTCTATTTCAAACCAGCATGTCATTTGAATCTTGATGGTTCCATAACCACTGCTTATATCCATTACTTTATAAACTCACTGAGCAATTTATTAGAAACCACAAAATGCAGCCTTGATTATTTTATTTGTGGACATATCTTTAACTTCCATGTTGACATGACTGTATCACATAATGTCTGCCTATCTGCTGCTCCTCTTCTATCACATAAAGAGAAGTTGTTTTGTTGATTTCTGTTATCAGGTACAGCTCAATGACTGTAAGAAAACAGCAGAGGCTGCACAGACAATGTACTAACACATACAAATAAACACAAAGATCTATATACTTGAGACATCCCTTCTCCTAAGCGGCTTCTGCATGGTTTTGTTATTCTGATGTCTGATTGCATAATTTGTTGTCAAAGCAGATGTACAGGTGTTCCTAATAAAATGCTGGCTGGATGTACGTATGGATGTTTGAGTAGTTGTCATTGTAGTGACTCTAACAACACAAAACAATTATTTCCTCTTTTTTCCCTCTTTTCTTACTAATTGCTTTACAGAGATGCTGTGATAATGCTGGTAGTACCACACAGATTACATAAAAGCTCCTCTGGGGCAGTGCTGGCAGGTCATTTCTCTGTACCCGGGTCAACATAAAAACTATTCCACTTATCCAATGACCATTTAATATGCACCATTCATTGACTCACATTAAGAAACATCTCCTCCAAAGAGAGCCGGTAAATAATTTAGAGGATATGCTGTCACTGAGGGTTCTGTTGCACCCGTGGGACCAAATTAAAATTGAAGATCTCATGGACGGGAGAGAGTGAGGCCTGGCCTTGTAATGAAAGGCCTGAGTGCCAATCAAAGCTCAGCAGGACAGAGCTATGTTTTCACAAAGGTTCATGGCAGATCTAAGAGAAGCAGGTAGGTGCACATTTTTCATGACATATCATGACACTTCATACGTTCATATCATACCTGTGGTGTTTGCATTTAATCAAAAAATTTGAGTTACCTGACAGGGTTACTCGTGAGAGACACTCTGAGGGACTCCAGGCAATTGAGCAGCTTTTCTTCTGTGATGCCAGAACGCAGCTCATGGACATATTCTTGCGATGAAAGTGTACACTCATGCTTACTGTTCCTTAGTCCACCCTGAAAATAGGAATCAACAGGACAGTTGTTAGATAAATATCTGATAATATATCTGATAATATCACTGTGACCTCGACATCTGTGTTAATTTGTGGACAGAATAATCACTTCATTCAATCAAATCCATTCATTTAATTGTTTTGGTTATTTGGTTGTTTCATTGTTTTTATCCTCTTGCAAAGCAACTTGAGTTTTTATTACTATCATGTAAAAATTGTAATAACAGAATGTTGTAAACAATGATGAAACTTTAATTTTACATCGATATGATTCAAAAAACAAGACTTGTTCCACTGAAATGAGAAAACAAACATTACACAGGAAGAGGATTATGCATTGCTTAGTCACTATCTCTTTTCAGTACAGTTGTTTGATCAATAACAAGCAGTGTGTGTATTTGGATTCACACAAAAGGTGCCAGTGATACAAGCTGCCAAAACTTCTCTTTTTCTCAATCAGCCAAGACAGTAATGATGGACTACTCGCTGAAAAGCCAAAGACTAAGATCCTCAAGGTATCTACAGCATATCCTGCTTGAGGGAAATTGATTCTTGTGTATAATCTCCACAGAGGGCGCTAGGGACATGTCGCTACACTGACATTTAAACAATGACACTATTCATTGGCAGCAGGGAAACACGACTACACACACATGTTCCAAGATCACATTGACATCAACATTGGATACAACATAGAGATTTGGATATTTGAATCTGTCCAAGCAAGAACCAACATAATTACCAATGAAAGAGATTTTAGTTGATGAACATTGTCTGTACTCCCAATGAACCTGTGTAGAAATATTAAGGTTCTGTTATAAAAATGAGCTTAATTTCAGGTCGGGGTTGTGATACCACACAAAGGAAAATAAGAAAACATGCTGCAGAAACAGCAAAACATCCGCCTGAGAGTTGGGCAGAATCATCCTCAGTGTGTTCATCCCTGGACTGCTGGATTCCCATAAAGTGAGCCGTGCTAATGGGCAGTTTGGGAAGTAATAAGCTAACTCATTTATCTGGTTAATAGAAGCCTGCTGCTCCCATGCAATGCACAGTCTTTTTTTTATGAGTGGAACATTTTGTAAGCTACACCAAAAAATTGTAGACAATGCTCCACTAATGTCATTCCACAAGTACGATTTTTTATTTTCCCCGGAAAGGGCAAATATAAAGGAACCATATTTGCTGTCATGTTTCATCTGTATTCTTCCAGCACTAGAGTAAAATCTCAACAAAGTGAGTTGCACATAATTGTCTAGTTTTCCAGACCATAGATTGATTTTGTAGAAAATCAATTTTCTGTGCTTATGTCTATTCTGTCTTTCTCCACAGGATCTATACAAACACTTGTGCTATTCATCTTGTTTCTCAAGCAGCACTGGGTGAATGTGGGAGAGTGACTGTCTTCCCTTTTATCTTACTGAGCCTTCTTATTAGACAATAGGGAGAGGTGAGAAGCCTCATTATCATCTAGACTTTCAAGACACTTTGTTGCACATTTCTGCTATAATACATGCTTCTTTGGTATAGGCTATGAATGGCTAGACACAAAAATAATGAATGATATTGGTAGAATAAGATATGTGGTATGAGCCACAGAAAAAAAGAAGGATCCCAAATGGATAACAAAACCAAAAGAACAAATGTGGGGGCTTAGACTTCATAAAAGCTTTACTGCAAGATTAACCTCAGACAGTGATATAAAACTGGTATAACAATGACAATTACATTCTTCTAAATCCTTAAAAATCAATGTGCTTTTAATCCCTGGGTGGCAATGCTTGCTGTTTTTAAAAAGACTCTTGAAATCAAAAAAGAAAAGTTTGTGTCATTTTTGTTTGACTCTTTTTGAAAAACATGTTTAGGATGTTATATCTAAAATAGTTGATGAACTGTGACTGTATTTTTGTGCCCGTTTCCCTGAATAGAAAAATCATAAAGCACATTTTATTTATTTTGACTATGATATGTGAGGCCACTTTATTTCTCCTTTATTAACTTTGATATTTACGTGCAATTGTTACACTGGAAAAATACAAAAAAGAAAAAAAAATCTTTATTAATGTCATGATCAACATAAAGATTATTTACCTCACCAGTTGGCCGGGTCACTTTTTTGCCAAGGAAAATTTATGGTAACCAATTAAGTATATGGTGCAGACTTGCCAATATCATTCAGCTTGAAGCTGAACCTGCAAGGCTGAAACTGTAAAAATCTTATTCGACAATCACTCTATTCTCACAAGCAGGAACAAATATAAAGATGCTATGGTCAACAACTAAACAAGATTTATCCTGTAAGATAAACAACAATATGACATGCAGTAAACACACGTGACACACTGTATCTAGAAAAGTGTTCCCCAACAACCAGACCGGTATCAGGATGAAGAAATATTTGTTACCAGGCTAATGATTTCAAACTACATGAAAATCGGTAGACAACATAATTTCTACTTAGCCACTTAATCTGAATATTTTATATTCCTCTGTAACAATATAAAAAAAGGTCTTGCACGGATCATAATGTTTTGCTGTGATACTAATTGTCAATATAAAAACAGTATGAGGTGCAAGCACAAGATGTTGAGGATCCAAGTCCAGACTCTACCTGAATGGTGTTTGGACTATTAGGCAGCTACACAGATGTCCTCCTCTGGCACACTGCATAAAAGTGCTCATTAATTTATAACAATTTTAGTAGAATGGGCCTGTAGATCCTCCAGGGGGATCCTTCCCTGTTGAGAAGTAGGCAGAAACTACAGTTTTCATTATCCAATAGGGCTGCTACTCCCTGGACAGGGACCAACCGAAAGGCCTGGGACCAGAACCATTTAAACAGCTAATTGGAACAGTGCATCACACATGTCTGATCCAATCATTCAAGGAAATGCAGGAGGAACATTAAGTCCATGTCCTCCAAAAGGTGAGAGGAAAAAGATTAACAACGAGTGGCATTTGTATTCTCAGGTCGACCATTGTTGAGGCAGCAGTGTAATATACTGTTGGTCTGCTGAAAATATGTGTGATTGTTCCACCATCACAGCAGTCAAATCACCAACTCTTCAACAAAGTTTTCTCTGAAGAGAAGGCTAAGGTTTTCAAAACACAATGCTTTCGACAGATCGGTTTTGATGAAAAACAAAAGCTAAAGCAGGCAGTCACCTAAAAGAGGTAATATGCAAGCAATCTGCTAAGTAAAGCTTAAAAGATAATGACAGGTGAAACGTATAAAATCCCCAGTGGTGGGTTTCGTGCAAGTCTGAAGATCAATCACCTGGCATTTGGCCGAAGCTTGAGTTTGGAGGAGTTAGAGCTTAATGAATAGAACTGGTTTGACACAGCAGATCAAAACATACTAAAGCTGATAAAACTTGAGCACTCGATGGTAAAAAATATGCACTGCATAATCAAGAATTGAATGGCATAACTGTTGACCCGAACATTGCAAGAGAACACTGCATAGTATCTGACAAAAGGCACTTTGGATATGGCTGATCAGGCAACTACGTTTTCAGAACATTAATTCCTCAGTAATACATAGGCCAGTGAGAGGAAAAACACATCACCCACTTTTTATTTATCTCCCTACCTCTCAGCAGTTCCCAGCAGGCGAACCACTATGTCCAGAAAAGCTAGAGCTCTGGTTTCACAGCATGTACTGACCTCTGGAAACCAAAGACACTGACCATAAACTGCTTTTTCATGACCCTAGCCCAAATCAATGGAATCCTTTGGGATAATATCAACATTACACCACCACACTGGCAGCAGAGAAACAATCTGAGGAGAGGGAGGGGGCATTACCTGCTGCCTATGGGTAATAGAGATTTCCTCACTGGACTCACCAAAATGGTCAACAGACAAAAGTGGGCAAAAAGAGACCATGGAGGAAGGGGGCAGGGGAAGATAGAGGGATGGGGGAGAGGTGTTGTGTGGGTCGTACGTGAGGAAGTAGCAACATATAAATTAAAAGAGATAGAGGGAATGGGAGGGATTTAAAAAGTAAAGGGTAGATACAAAGAGAAGGAAAAGGAGCAAGGGAGAAAAGGCAGGGGAGAGAGATGGAGCATCATGTGAAACTGCAACCTCAACAGTAGAGGACGGGCACAGCCTTTTGACCACAGCCTAGAGCCTCATCTCCTGCCGCTTATTGAATCCCCTATTTGTCGATAACAGTATTTCCTGCCAAAGAAAATAGTGCTGGGAGCAATTACTTCAGCAAGCCTGTCAATTTCATTTTGGGGGGTTAGGGTAGCATTGAGGCTCATTCCCTTCTCTTCCATCACCTCTGCCTCCCTTTCTCTATCCCATGGGGAGTGACAGAGTGTTGTGCCTTCTATCGAGGGCAGGGCAGAAAGACAATGCCAAGGCGGCTGCACTGCCACATGTCATCTTCACCTGTAATGAGCCCATAACAAGCTGGCAGCTTGCTCAGTGCCCAATGCTCGGCACACTGACTGATAGATACATTATTCAGCTTCATTGTCAGCTTACTGGAAAAACCACATGGCGACAGCGTGTCTGGCCTGAAAGCTATCTGGGAGAGAGCTGACTGCATTCAGCCTTGCTACCTCACTCACTCAGAGACACATTCACAAATATACAACCCTCTAAATGTTTTCCTGACTCTTATCCGTTGCAGCGTGACGATGAGTTACCATTAGCAAATGATGCAAGAACAGAAGTAGAAAAGGTCTGTACTCAAGTCTTTGTAATTCATCACAGCCTGCTTCAACGATTTCCTTAGATGGTGAGCATGAAAGTCAACCAAAGCTTTGTTTCTGACTGTGACATGACTCACTGCAGCACTTCATGGCCCATAATGAATAATTAAATAAGGGCACTGTTGATTCTTGAACCTAATTTATAGAAGAAGCAAGAAGGTAACAACCAAACTAGTCTTTCAAGCTTTCACACCTGAATGTCCTGACTATGGTCTTTGTTAAATTGTTCACATTTGATCTCGTTAGTTTTGGTTTCATGTAGCAATTTAAGAAG